AAAATGTTCTGTTTTGAGAAAACATTATTTAAAACATTTGAACTTTAGCTTGAATATCTTTTATTTCGAATAACAGTATAAACTGTACGGTCTAAATTTAGTTTGCACGGTCTAAATTTAGTTTGCACGAAAGTTGTAAACAACACCATATAAGGATAGACATTCCATATTTGGAAAAACGAACGTTATGGGGCAGATATTCAAATTCATTAGACATCGATGCAGGCTCTCAATTCAGCTTGAGAGCCTGTTCGCAGGCTAGGATAGGTCTAATAAATGTATACAATTTACGCTCGAAATTTCCATCTCCAAAACCGTTAACAATTAGTTCTATCGACTGAGATACCCAAAATCCTGATGTGCCATATTGTACCTTTATAGTTGTAAGCTAGCGTCATAATTTTGTGAACTATGTCGTACTTGACTTTTTCTGCAGTTTCGTTCATGGTCAGCCCTCTCATTAAAACCTCCAGAGCGTGGTCGATATCGTTCAGTGCCATAATGGCAGATCCTAATCGCAAGTAACTCTAAAACAATAAATCAAACACATTTGAAGGTGAATCTTGAATGGTCATATATTATTTCTTAGTATAAAGATGGTACAATATACTACACATTATTTCTACACAATATTGCTACACATGCAATTGCCAATTCACAAATTTAGAAACTCACATGCCTATAGTTACTATTGTTCTAGTTTACAGAAGCATAGAAAAGAACAAAGGTAACTAAGTGTAACGGCCATGCATGTGCGATTTTTCTTGCAACTTGCAATGCAATTCTACTCTTGAGAGATGTTAATTAGTGAAATCACTGAAGAATTTTCGATATGTTGAGAAAAATCAGCGGAGTGTAATGAAGACTCGTATTTGGCAATTTTACATCTCTCAAAAGTAGAATTACATTGCAGGTTGCAAGATAAATTGCACCGTGTAACATGGCCTTAAGAGTTGTGTATAGGAGTAGAGATAGATAATGGTAATGTTCTATTCTGTAAACTGGAACAATAGTAACTAGGCATGTGCACGTGAGTTATCTAAAGTTGTGAATTGGGTATAAACTAACGTTAACGTTCGGATAATTTGTCCATTATCAGAAAAATACTAGGTTTATAGGTCAACAATGATATTCTAAAATGGCTATTTTCACACAACACAACCTATAGTACTACGACACCTTCCCAATTTGTGTTATTAACAAAGAGAAGACACCTAGGAGGGAAGTTGTTCTGTCATACCTCTGACCAATTCGGACGATACTTCACACACTTCTCAGCATCTTCTTTGGCTTTCTCAAATTGTTTCTTTTTAAAGTAGGCATGTGACCGATTACTGTATAACATCCCCAATGTTACATCATGAACAGAAGCGTACTGAATTGACAGAGTGAAACAATCAATAGCGTTTCCATACTTTCCTATGTGAAACATTTCATTTCCTTTATCACGCCAGCCAATAGCTTCTTCCTATTATATTAGACATGACAAAAAACAATCCCATGTTGTCACTACTTGAAGCTTCTATTTTCTAGTATCTCGCTCGTAGTAACTATCCACGTGCAGTGTCTAATTAGATAGAATTTTGATCAAGTCGTTGGACTAGCCACAGAAATTATAATTTCTAGAAAATTTCTAGAATAAGATGTCATTATACAAAATAAGTATGTCACAATTTCCCCTGTCTGGTGTTTGTTCATTTCAATAGAACATGCTTGTTATGTATGTGACGCACATGAATGATGGACTTAAGAGAAGCGATCATGTTGGCCACTGACTTGGACTGGATCAACAAAGCATTGCTCCTCTGACAAACATGCAATTGTACATGTGCCGGATTTTTTTATTCAATTTGGAAAAATGTGAGCGCATCTAATTAGATCATATACTGCAGCATGACGGAACTAAAGTAAATGTTAATGCAATGCAATGAAGCGAATTAACTGCGGAATGGAAACGGATCGGTGGTCAAGATGATGTACAGTGGTCGCCAGTGTATAAGTAAATGACAGTTGTGTTACCACTAAAAGGTAATGCTGTACACTCGAAAAACACCCTGGTTGGAATTTCCCTGTTTAACCACACAAGGATATTATACCTCATTAGTAATCGGCTCCATTTGTTGCCACTCCTTTCCTGCTTGTATAGCTCTCCCGTACATTTTGCCACACCAGAAAGTAAAAATAACTAACTTCCAGCTTTCGTACCAACGAGGTTTCATTGATTGGTCCCCAATATTAAGTGGCCGGAAATAATTTTCAGCAAGTTGCAGTAAATGTACAGCTCGATCATAATTTCTTGAATGAACCATATCCATACCCTGACTTTTCAAGTTGTCGCCTATTTGCTACATGAATAAAAATGTGGGATTAAGACATTTCTAAAGAACTGCCAGAGGCTTTTGAAGGCGAGCAGGCAAAGGAAAAGAAAATAATCGAGCGATCGTCATACTTATAATAAATATAACTAAAAATGCATTTATGCAAGGCCCCTCCCACGATAATAACTGCCTTATTTTGAACTTTGAGATCGATCCTTTCCACTACAGTCGCAATATGTTCATAAGGTTAGAAACAGCCAAATTTGGTTATGTGATGACCACATGTTCCGCTAAGACGCTAATGTTGGATCTAGTGTTTTGCCCACTGAGCTGTAATATGTATACCTCAGTGGTTTTGCCGTTCGTTGTTTCATTGCCGGAAAGAGTTCCTTCATAACCAAGGGGATAAGGACGCGCCAAAAATATGTACGAGCACGCGAGCGCCGTTCGCTGGAAATTTTATATAACTGCAAGAAATTAACCTATGTCTGGATTTAATACTCTGCAAAACATACTCTGCAGGAAATTTTTATCTTTAGGCTGTGCTCGCAGGAAGAAAATGATTTTTTCTACCCTTGTCTATGTCCTCCTTGTAATTAAATTATTAAATTCGCGTACGAATTTCGTTAAAAGTATACAAATAGTCGTCAAAAGGATTAAAATTTACATTGCTAATACATGCCGCCATGTTGATTTTTCCTGCCTCATTTCCAGGCTCTGCTCTTGTCTTGTTAATTTACACTGCCAACATTGAACAGTTTAAAAAAAAATTGCCCTGCCCATTCAGAATCGAGTATTTTTTCATTAATACGATTATTACATTAGAAAATTTTGGAGTAGTTAAATTTCATCACAAGCAGTCAAATTTGGCGCTGCTAAATTTGATAAGAACAGTGTGCTTAATAGCTGTTATCGTAATTGAATACGTCTATGCTACGGAACAGCGGTATCTGCATTATTTTAACATCGAGACGAGGCTATAGGGTCATGTATTGTGTCTTTTGACCCTTTAGCCTCGTTTTCGTGCGTACTTCCACTGAGATACCGCTGGCTCGCCGCAACGGCGTATTCAATTACGATAACAGCTATTAATTCTCTCCATCATGAATTTGTGGATTTCTAAAATGTTGTTAAAGTGCTTTATACACGGTAGCTAATCAACTATAAAATATTTACAAGGTTTTCGTTGCTTTTCATTAGGCCGTGTAGTTACAAACAGTATAAGAAACTCCCATCCACCCTCCCCAGATAATAACAGTAAAATCTTCACACTCAAACCCCTCCCAAATAAGATAAAAGATAATTCAAGAGCTTTTATTTCTTTCATTCCAAACTTTAGCAGCAGCATAACCGAAAGTACGTTTCATTGAATTTGTTTTTGGCTTCGACAACATCAGCTTATTATTATTGCTTCTTAATTCATATCTTACAGAGTTGGATAATTTGAACATATCCGAAATGTTCTTAGGACATTGGCATGTAAGAGCTTTTGATACATATTTTAGTTGTTGCTCCTTCTTCTTTCACTTAACGTTTTCCATTCTAGTTTCTTTAAAATATCAATCGAGCGTATTTCATATGGGTCGCCGGTAATAACTCTAGCAGCTCGGTTTTGAAGCTTCCCTCTTAAATATTCACCACAGTTACCCCAAACCATTGAGCAGTAATCAAAGTGTGGTTGAACTAGGGCTTGGTAAAGATGTTGAAGAGTTTTGGTTGGAACATAGGGCTTTACACGGCGCAACATGCCAATGCCCTTTGAAGCTTTTTAACTGATGTTGTCAATCTGCTTATCCCAGCACAGATGTTCGTCAACCAATACGCCTAAGGTCTTTTTGGTTTCAACCTCTTTTAATACTTTCCCATCGATAGAAACATTAATGTCTTGAGAAAGATTATTCAACCTTTGACGTGTTCCAATGATCATATATTCTGTTTTTTCTACATTTAACGGTAATTTGTTTGAAAGAAGCCAGTGATGAATATTTTCCAATTCACTATTTAAGGCCTCTTCCACATGAATTAACTAGATGAACGCACTGTAATATTTGTGTCATCAGCATACATTGCTGCATGTGAGTTCTCCATACAGTTTGGGAGATCGTTCACATATAACAAAAATAGAAGAGACCAAGATTTGATCCTTTTGGAACCCCACAACTTACTTTCTTTGTGTACGATGTTGCATTATTTACCACGCAGAATTGTTTTCTATTGTGCAAATACGATTTAAACCAGTCTAGGGGATTTGTTTCGAATTCCATAAATAAATAATTTTTTAATAAGAATTTTATGATTAACTGTGTCAAATGCTTTGCATAGATCAAGGAAAAGAACACCGTTTATCAACCCAGCATCCATATTCAGTAGACATGAATCAGTATTTTCTAAAAGAGCTGTTGTGGTTGAGTGACCTTTTCGAAAACCGGGCTCACATGGGCTCAGAATATAATTTTTGGTTAAAAGTATATTGAGTTGCGAACAAGCAAGCTTCTCAAACAGTTTTGCAATTATCGACAGTATAGAAATAGGTCGATAATTACCTCGTTCTTCTTTGTTTCCAGATTTATGAATTGGACTTACTCTGGCTATTTTAAAATCATCAGGAAAAATTCCAGTACTT